AAGGAAGGAAGGAAGGAAGGAAGGAAGGAAGGAAGGAAGGAAGGAAGGAAGGAAGGAATCGTTACCTAAAAGAAAGGTCTTTCAGTTGACATATATATTTCTTTTGCCAGTGGACCTGTTGGACTTAAACTCAACGAATGAAGCTTTTAAAGAGCACAAATTGATTCAGAATGATCAGCTCCTTGGTGTTCAGGATATCATCAGCTGTCTCACTACGATTTACAGTGGAATGGAAGAGAAGCACAAGGATCTTGTGGACATTCCACTCTGCGTAGATATGTGTCTCAACTGGCTACTCAATGTTTATGATAGGTAAGTGTGAGATGTTTGGCAAAGCCTGTAAGTGCAGCAATGTCCTTCTATCATCATACGTGGGAAGGATAAAAAAATCCACCTACTCTTAAAGCTTTTTTTACCTAATGCCAACAAATAACTGAAATGTGTATACTAAATTCTGCTTGATAGATGCCCTTGATGACAATTTTCAGAAGGCTAGGTATCTTAAATGAAAGCAGATAAAAAGATTGTTAGGTGCCTAGTTCTATGGGAAGGATGGGCAGAATATCCACTGAGATTTGAATACAAAATTCAACAGGTCCTCAATATTATGTCTTCATATGGGACCTTGCATAGCCTTTTATAACTCACTATTGTTTTGCACTTTGTAGAGTATGTGTTCAAGCAAATGCACAGTTTACTCTTTCCTGCAAAATTCCCCAATGGTGAAATGATTGTGCACAACTTTATCTTTACAATTCTGCAAATGGGTTTGATTTGTTTCTAATTCATCACTTAACCATGCTCATGGTTTATATCATTGACATATACCATTTTTAAATAATTACCCACCTACAAAAGCCATCTGCTTCTCTCATGCTATTAATCTGGAATTTAATTAGCATCTGTAAGACATGCTTACTGATGTTTATGGCCTTTGTAAGACATTAAGTGAAAACAACTGACAGCAACACCTATTGTCTTTTGTATTTCTGTCACATTAAGAATTATTTATTTCTCACATTAAGTTGGTAGACAGAACAATTTAATATCACTGGATATTATTTTTCAAAGATTCATATATTGTAGAATTCATTAACATCTGCTTTGTAAAAATGCTCCAGCCTTAACATAAACTTATAAACATTTGTATTGCAAATATGGTTTAAGTATAATATGCTGAAAATACTGGAGCTAAAGAATAGCATGAGAAATTAGACTGATTTTCTTACTGCTGATTCCTTGTGGAAGAATTTCCAGCACTACAAACATTAGGGACATTCTGAATGAGGTGAATTGTTGCATAGAGAGGAAAGATTAGATGCCTGTAATGGTATATAGGAATGACCTTGGGAGACAAGAGGAAGAGCTGCAGATTAGACAGTTGTCAGGCAAAAGGCATCTCTGCCCACAGAAACAAAAGGGACATGGGAAGGGTTTCAGAAGGGACCCTTCCTAGTTTTCGGGAAAGTAAAAATAAAGGAGGGGAGAAATAATTTCAAACTTGCAAGATTCGGTTACTGTAACCTTACAATAAAGGTAGTGTTAGCACTCATAGTTTGTTCTTCTTATCTGGACTACCTTGAAGGGCTGAGAATGCCTGAAAATAAGATAGAAGTCATTGACAACCTATTTTACAAATGTTCTGCATTGTGTCAGTTGAACATTTCAAGAAGTTGTATATGTATCGGTGTATAACACGCAATTTCCCCCCTAAAATTTGGGGCTGAAATCCTAGCTGCATGTTATACGCCAATATGCCCTGCAGTTTCTCACCTTGAGCAGCAGGGCTGGGAGAGCAAAGCACCAGTGGCCAGGAGAACATTTCTTTTTTGGCAGCTGCCACAACCCAGCACTGCTGCTCCAGATGGCCGCAGAGGGAGGTGCGCAGCCCGCACCGCACTGCCCCAGCGAGGGGATCAGTGCTTCCCCAAGGGCTGTACCATGCCGTTGGGAGCATGGGAGAGTCTGGAGACACGAGTTCTCCAGCACTCAGTGTCAGAGCAAAGCACAAAGACCAGATCCTCAGTGGCTCCTCGGGTTGCTAAAATGGGGGCGGGGGGGCAGGGAGCTGCCCACCACCCATTCCCTAGGCCTCTGACTTTGCAAACCAGCCACTGTCCCAAGCGCGCTGCGCCTGGAGGAAGAAGAGTTAAGTACCAGTGTGTGTGCGCGCATGTGTTTTTATTCCTCCCGTGCCACTCGGGTGATTTCACTAAAGACTGCAAACAGAGGAGACATACTCTAATAATAAATTACTGTACCCCCCAATCCACTTGG